ACATACTTTGTCTTAATCAGGATATTAATAAGGAACTAGCAGTTTATGAAGCTTTTGGAATAATCCACCAATTTTTTAAAGTTAAACACTATCTAAAGATTTGCATCGAAGCGTTTTTTTTTGATAGTGATTTTAATCACTGTCAGATATCATTATACTTGATCCAACTATGCCACGTCACCACTGTGCCGCGACCCCCCTGTGCTGGGTTTTTTATTTCTTGGTGTTATAAATAAAATTGTATTTTTACGTTGACTATTAAAAATATTGTTTGCATTGAAATCTAACGACTTTAATAATATATATTCCTATTATGTTATAATAATCTTATAATTTCAATATACTACTTTAATATTAAAAAATTTTACAATGATATATAATAAATTGCGCCTATACACAGAATGATTAAAATAAACCTTACACTTTAATTCTAAACTATGGTTATAATATTAATATAATAATAATAGCAGATTTTTAAATATTCTCTTAAAAAAAAAACAATGAAAAGGAAAACGAGTTCTTTATTTAGAGAAACTGGATCTGGAACTAGTTCTTATTTCAGGAAGTGAACAAGGAACACAATGAATTTCGTTAAAAAAAATAATTTTCCCAACACTAAATAAATCAAATATATATTCAATTTCCAAAACTCAAAATTATTGAATATAGATACTAAAATACAGTGATGATGCGAGGGGGCAGTTGTCCCGAGTCCTGCAGTTCAAAATTATGTTTAAGGATCCATATTTTTGAAATTGCTATATTACTGAAGGTATAAATTATAATTATTTCCCCCGGTACCTTGCAAAAGCTTGCGTCGTCACTGCCGAAATACCAATTGTTGACAATTATTAACGAATGACTTAAATAATAATAAATGGACAGATAACTCGACCAAATCGGGTGTTATGTACTCACCTGCTACTCGATAAGATCTATAAAGATTTATGTTGGACGACATGTCTATTATTAAATTTGAGTTTAATGATTTAATTAAAATACTTATCCTTAACAGCATAGGCGCAAAAGAGGGGTACTTTAGTTATATAGCATCCCTAATTATGTTTCACAATTTTTGTAAGGAAAAATAAAATAATTACTTATATTATTGTATAAATATAACTTTTTTAAAAATGTTTTTAGTGTACAATGTCATTGGTGTAGTATATGTGTTTTACTTAAAACATAGTATTATGTTTTGGTTTCAAATTTAATTACTATAGTTGAAATATTACAATGGTAAAGAAAAAATATATGCGTATAATGTTATACATAAAAATTTATTTATAAAAAGATAAAAAAGATTAGGTTTTTGGTCTTTGACACCCCTAAGTTCAAAACATTATTTGCCTATGCTTAACAAAGTGTTTATTATTTATTTAATTTTTAAATAGACAATTTAATTGTTTATTCATCGTTCTGTGTTGAAGGTTAAAATTAAAAAATTAACGATACTTTGTATTTATTAAATAATAAGTATTTGGTTTAATACATTTTGATAAATGTATTTCTTATAATTTATTCGAGAATGGAGCGATTCCATTAATTTGATTTTAATAAACACCTATGCATTTTAATTTTTAGAAACTTATATTTCGGTTATCATAACCATTCGGTTAGATGAATAATCAAAAAAAAAAAAATATAGAATCATTTAATTACTCTCATCCAGAGGTGTCGTGGAGCGTATACGCGGGTATACGGCGTATATCCACTGTTAGTTTTTTTATTAGTGCATATACGTATTTATAAAATAGTTAAAGAGTATAGACTAAAGAATAAAATAAAAAGTAATACGTGGGTATCGAATATAGGTACGTTTGTCATAAAACACAAATTTTGAATAACTCTTATCAGTTTGTTTAATCTCTACAGTCATACCACATATAAACATATACCTGAAGTTATAAACATACAAATGTGGCTCGAGACTATTATCATTTTAAAAATAGAATATAAATGTAAAACAAAAATAAATAAATAGGATAATGTTTATCATTTCACGACAATTTTATTGATAAAATTTAAAACATCGATCAGAAATTAACGATATAGCACATACTAAGTTGAAACTGAAAGTTATTGGGTTAACCTATAGCTGTTGAAATTGGTAATTTGTATTTTTCCGTAATAAACCGTTTACCAACCAATCTAGTATTTAATATATTACCTATAATGAATTAAGATAGTACTAACATGTACCTATTCACGTTTATTTCATTTATGATTTAACGATTTGAAAACAATGATTGTAAGATTATTTTATTACTGCATAAAGTTTATTTATAAAAAATATAACAGTATCTAATAATACACATATCGATTATGAACTATGAAATTTAATTTATGTAAGAACTTAGAAGTGTCAGTAAAAATATTCGAGTAATAGTTTGGAAGGAGCAAGGCCGTATCTGGGAGGGTTAGGAGTTTTAGTTGCATTATGTAATAATTAGAAAATACATATTTTTAACACAGTTAAAATATCACAATATTTGTATTCCGCCCCCCAAAACTATGTTATAGTTAAGGCCTTTGAAAAGTAGTGTGGGGGTGAAATTCGCCACGTTTCCTCATTTAGGTTTTTAACTTATCTATTGATCAAATTACGACTATATCACTGTTGATAATGTGAAATATTGTATGTAGAAAATGTAAAGTGCAATGGGGGGTGTGGGGGGCGGAGCCCCCCACGTTATTCTCTATTCATTATATAGGCGTATACCCATNTGGGGGCGGAGCCCCCCACATTATTCTCTATTCATCATATAGGCGTATACCCATAAACATTTTTAGGACTACACCACTGCTTTCATCACTATTTTAAATAGCCCGCGGGAACAAAAGTTGGTAAAATTACCGAATATATCAATCTAAATAATAGTTGTGGTTAATATTCCACTCTCGGTGTCAACCAGTTCATTATAAGGGGTTTAGTTTAAGGAATTAATTATCCCAACAATATTTTATGAGTTTTTAATATACCCACACTATTTTTATTTAGTGAAACATAATGAAAAATTTTTTCGAGAATTCCTTCAGATTCTGAAAAGTATAAAATTTTGATTTTATGTATAATTATAATAGGTACGCGTAAACCAATTATTTTTCTTTTTAAAATTGAAAACTTATTTATTTTGGATAAAAATTAAAGTTAAATTGATAATGTTATTATTTTTAATGTTAGCTAAAATATAATTCATCATTTAAGTAATAACTGTAACGCCAATATTACTGTGATGTTATAACCACAGACCACAAGAAAATAAAGTCTGTGTTATAATCATCCAAACGGAAAAAAAAAGTTGTCATTTAAACAAGTCACAAGAAATTTTTCTTTTATCATTTAAAATTTCTTTTAAATATCTATAAAACTGTTTATAAAAAAAAAAATGATTGAAAACGAATATTTGAATATTTCATGTTTGACTTAGTGGTTATTAATCTAAAATCTGGCATCATATCAAATTTTTATGATTTTTTCAAAATTTTTCTCATCAAATTAAAAAAAGAAACATGGCAGATATTAAAAAAATTAATTTTAAGTAGCTAATCGAATTTATAATTTTGTATTAAATACTATTGTTCATTTACATTATTTTGAATACGTAGTTTAATTTTGACCTATAAACGTTTTTGTAAAATACCCTTTAAAGTTGCTGTATGATTGGGCCTCAACATTAGTTAATGAACTATCCACTGGATCGCACTATACAGTATATAAACATAATATGTGAACATACGTATTTAATAAAAGTTCTTATTTAATATATATTAATAGTTGAGTATCGTGAGAATGACTATTGAAATTAAGTACATTTTTAAGGGTGATAGAGATTAAAACTCCTCCAATATTAGAACAATTAAGTGTTTAATTAATTACAAGATAGTAATTAAAAGTTTCTTATGTATAACCCCTCACAATTTTTATCACAAAATCCTGAGAATGTGATATTAGGAAGGAATATATCCTTTTTTATTCATATTTATTTATTCAAAAATAAAATGCACTTAAATTGAACAAATTTACTAACATTTTATAGTAAAAATGACATAAAATATATCAATATTGTTTTTCAATCAAATTTATGCTTTTGATTTTTCTGATGAATAATCTTGAAGCCTGGTAATTTCTATAGGATATCCTTTTAAAATTTGTGAATTTGATTCTGTCACCTAAAAAATACTTTAAAAATTTAGTAAAATTATTTGAGTTTAATAAAAATATATTTTTTATACAAATATATAAGAATAATTTTTAATTTATACATAAATACTACTATACAATTAACTAACCTCCACAACAACATAATCACCAGGTTTTATTGATTGAAGATTTGATTGACCTTTCTTTAATAACTTTGTATTAGGAATTACTACTTTAATATTACCATCAGTCCGCCCACAAAGATTAGTTGGACCTCTACGGCTTTCCTAAATATATGAGGCAAACATTGATGTTATAGTATAAAATATTATTTTAAATAATTAGAGTAATTCATACAAATGTATCATAATTTGAAATAACTTCTTCATTACCAAAGAAGAAATATACTTACATAAAATACAAATTTTTGCATGTAATCGACTTGATTACATGAAAAAATTGGGTCATAATTTATAAGCAAAAGCAAAATATGTGTCAAAACAAGTTTTATATTGTAATAAAAATTTATAATAGCAAAATATTAATATATTATTGTATAAAGAAAACCCCATTTACTCTCCATGTTAAAATTTAACATGCAGAGTAAATGTAATTACCTGTATTAAATGAAAGTTTTAAAGTTAAATTTAGTTTTACTAAATTCCGTAAAATATTCATAAATATTAATACATAGTGTAGATACTATTTAATTAAGGCTCAAGAAAAATGTACTTACACCTTCAATCAATATCAATTGTTTTGTTCCAACAAAATGAGAATTTAATATAGTAACATGTTCTCTAAATACATTAAACATAGTTTTTACTCTTTCAATTTTAGTATGATAGGGAACATCATCTTTATAGCGGTGATAAGCTGTTGTTTTCTAAAAAAAATATCCTTGTCATACCTCTTTATATTATTATAATAGTTAATAAGTATCAATTGTAAGTTTACATGTTATATTATATTAAAAAAAATCATTTGAAAAAAATAGTATCATACTTCTCTCATACTGTATGCAAATAAAAATGCATTATGATATTTTACATTTTTCATTAAACTTATGGTATCATTAAATTGTTCATCAGTTTCACCACAAAATCCAGCAATAAAATCACTTGAAAATGTTACAGTAGGTATACAAGACCTGATGTGTTGAGCTAAATCAAAATAAGTTTCACGAGTATATCCTCTTCTCATACGTTCTAAAATTTCAGAATTCCCACATTGAGCAGGTAAATGAAGATTTTTGCATACATTATATTTTTCTGAAATAACTTGTAAGACCTAAACATTTTAATAGATAGATTAGCTTAGTATAAATTACTAATTTATTATTACATAATAAAATAAAATATTAACTTCATCAGGAAAATCTTTAGGATGAGGTGAAGTAAATCTGATCCTCATTTCAGGATCAACATTTGATACTTTATCTAAAAGTTCAGCAAAACGTACACCACCATTTTTTTGTTTGTAAACTGTTTTAAAACCTTGTACCAATGTATCATTAGATGGTATGAAATATGAAGATGAACTTAAATCACGGTAACTATTAACATTTTGACCTAGGAATAGGAAAATAAAAATTTTTACTTATTATTTTTGAAAAATTTTTTATTAATCCTCATAACAGAGGCGATAATTATTTTTCACTTATTGAATTAAAAATATTTTTTCTAATATTACATATAGCTAGAGCTATCCTTAGGCGTGGTTAGAATTGTTAACAGTTTCTAGGCACTTACCCTAGAACTTTTATTGTTAATTTATAATGTCACACTTATGAAAAATTACATAAATTAAATTACAATTATTTGTAATAATGACCCTTTTAATTCATAAGGACCTGTTATATACAAGGTACCATTTCCTCTAAATTTCAAATTTATTTTGTAGTATAAAAAAGGATCAAAATTAAAAGAATTCATTTTTATATTGGATTTAACAATTTTGCAGTCTCAGTACTGCCAATTCTTAAGTTTCACTAAGGTAGCTGCTCCGCCTCCTATAGTAATGAGTGATTTAATTTACATGACAAGCATTAACCATTATAATTAATCAAAATATTAATGATTGTGTACTGAAGTCACATTTAATAAATTATATATTCAACAAACATAATTCAAATTTCTTCTAGAAAATAGAGAAGAAATACCCAGCTTTTTGGTTAACAAGTAACTTTAGTTTAATTTGAAACTTTTTCTATATAGATTCCATTCATTAATTTTTCCTTTATGAAAAGGAGACCAAGCAAATGATGTATACTCTAATATAGACCTAACTAAGGTAAAGTAAAGTGTTTTCAGACATAATATATTATTAAAAATCACCATAATTTTGATGTAAGAAGACTATATTAGGCTTCTTACATCAAGATTTATAACAAATGTATGTTATATATTTAGAGAAACATAAATCTTTTAGAAGGTAAACACTTAAGTTTTTTTTCCTATCAACTGTTTCTAAGTTATTAACTACATAATTATAAATAGTATAATTCTTTTTCCTAATGAAATTAACTTGAGGGCATTTACTTAAATTAATAACTAATTTATTGTGCTGACACCAAAAATAGAATCTATATTAAAAGATAATCCAACCTAACCATTAATTTTTTTCTTATCATTTTTGCTACTGGGAACAAAATATTTTTTAGGTATGTTCAAAGTTTTTTTCATAAATTACCAAAATTATGTAAAAACATGTAATAAGTTGAAACATTTTATTTAATTAAAAAAGATAATAATAGACTACTCATATGATTATTACCGTAGACCTCAATGTGAATGTTTAGAGATATTTAATCTTTTTTTTTGAGAAATGCATTTCAAAAAGTAAATAAAAAAAGAATAAACAAAAGAATCACACATAGAATACAACAGATCAAAGTTCAATATTTTTAGGATAAATTTTTTTGTTAATCTAGGAGTATGTATTTATTTTATTTAAAAATTAAATAAAAGAGTATGAAGTGAGGTAATTGTTGTAAATGCATTTTTTTGGATAAATGCTCATATTTTTATTTTGAACTTACAAAGCAAAGCATATAGAACCAGAAATTTTCAATTTTAAATAAAATCTGCTAAATAATAATTTAAGAAAAATATGATTTAACAATTTTCCCATTCATTTAAAAATTTACCCCATTTCATCCTACTTGTCAAAACATAATATCATTGATCTAAGGTTTAAATATAGAATATAGTGTTTTAATGAATATTAAAATTTGATAGTTTATTAGATGTATGGATTTAGCTAGGATTTAAATTCCAAAGGGGTCTAAGTGAAATTTTTAATCTATTTACGTATTATATAGATTTATAGGTTATGAATAAGTGAATTCGCTGACTAAGTGGGAAATTAATTTTTTTTTTTATATAAACTCAAACTGTATTTTCATAAGTATTTAGCAAATTTATATAGGACTCTACCTAGAAGAGGAGATATCTTAACTTTGAATACTAAACATGGGGTGTTTCATTAAATTATCACCAGAAAGAGAGATGGCAATTTTAAAAACTGAACAGTAGCTTAATAAATAGAGTTGCCCGTGACTGACTCTTGAACCCAAGATAATATACATTAGACACTTCTCATTACTAACTCGTCCATATTGTTCCTCTTGGTTACAATATCAAAATACAAAATGAAACATTTATTTTTATTTTTTTTTTTTTAAATTAATAATTCAAATCTAAAATAATTTACCTAATAGCGTAACCTCTTTAAATCCACTATCTGATAAATATTTTATTTCATCTAAAATTGATGTTACAGATCTAGAACGTTCGCGACCTCTTGTAAAAGGAACAATGCAGTAAGAACACATATTATCACAACCTCTCATAATTGATCTAAAAAAATAAACACAACATAATAACATAAATTATAACATAATGTTAACTGTATTCAAAGTTATTAAGTTATCAGTTAGATATTTTCCACCCTGTATATATTACATAAATTGTAAACAGGACATTTTTTAAACTTAAATAATATTCTACAAAATGTTAGTTTAAATCTCTTTAACACTACTAATTTAAGTTAACTTACACATATGCAGTAGTTTTATCATCATTTAATTTTATTGGTTTGATTTCTGCATAAGTTTCATCAACAGAAAGTAAAACATTGACAGCTTTTTGACCAACTTCAGTTTTTGCTAAAAGTCTAGGTAAATCTCTATAACTATCTGGACCTGCTACTAGATCAACCCCACCTTTAATTGAATTAACTAATTTTTCTTTTAATCTTTCAGCCATACAACCTAAATTATATACTAGCATTATTATTAAAGATATTTGAAAAGTTATAATTTAAATATTATGTTTATTACCTAAAATTCCAATCTTTAATGGTTCAAATTTACTTCTCCAACGTTTTATTGACCTAATTTGTCTAATCCTCGTCCATATTTTATTTTCAGCACTATCTCTTATAGCACATGTAATAAGTAATGCAATATTAGCATCATTTATATTGTTTGTTTTTATATAGCCATCACTTTTCAAAATAGACCATACTATCTCAGCATCACTAACATTCATTTGACATCCATATGTTTCAATATAAACTAGACATAAATAATTTCATAATAATACAAGTATTTAAATACAGATAATCTCTGATAATTCACTTGTTAACAATTTTTAGAGTAAGAATAATATCATTATTTATTATTTAAACTAGTTTCAATTTAATCATTTATTTAAAATAAAACTTTGATAATCTTGCATTTTTAATAGTCTACTATACATGGTAACATAGAATCGAATGTTCATATTACCTTTACGATTTTCTCCAGTGTTAACAAAGTCAACATAAGGAATTTTTTCATTATTTTCAATAGTTTGTAAATTAGTTGGAATATTTTTAGTTAAAAAATATTCAAGACCAGGACCATCAAACTTACGATATTTTTTATCATTTGAAATTAAAAGTTCTTTGTGACTAGAGCTGAATAATTTAAAGGCTTTCATTTTTGGCGTTCTAGTTATTCTGAGATAAGTAAAGTTTAGGTTTTTAAAAATAATTTCATTCATTTTAGGACCTATATGTAATCTACAGAAGGTTTTACAAACATTAAGTTTATTTTATTTTTGATAAATAATATAAGACCTAGCATAAACTTTAATTAAGTTTCAATAATTTTCTTTCGCAAGATAAAATGAAGCTATAATATAACAAGATATAATGAAAGTAATATAGTACTGAGATAATTATCATAAATAACAGCCTAACTAAGTAATTACTGAAGAGAAGACCTTACAAATTATACAAAAATTATAGATCTGTGACAAAATTTTGTAATACATTATATAATATTCTTATTTCAATGTAGAAGTTAAAAGAAATGTCAAAATTCGTTCGTGTTTTCTAACTTGTCTCAACTATAATCAGCATTTTATCACATGATTAAAATTCTATGATAATAATTTGTATAAGCGTAATTATATTTTATTGATAATGAATTGTGTGTTATCTTAAAATCTAAAAACTTTTCTGTTGAACTATGTATGTTATATTTACTTAGCAGTCAAGTAGTCATCATTTTGCAGTTATACTTCAAATTTATATTTGAGTATATTTAGGTTTATAAAGCAATAATATTCATTTAAAAAAATTACCAATCCGTTAATCTACTTTACAAAAATAGTGAATTTTTACATTATAATTATAATGTAATAACTCATTATTGCATTCTATTTTCATACTAAACTTGTGCTAATAATTTTGCAAAATACAAATGTTATACAATATATTATAAATTGTTACTATGGAAAATAACCCTTGTGGTTTAGCTTTACTCCAAATTGTATCTAGAGGTAATGCTATTGTTGCTGAAATTCTGCGTCTCAAGGATTATATCCCTTCAGTATACAGGTAATATTTTTAAATAAAATTTAGGACTGAAAATTTTATGTTTTATCAATTTATGATTCTTTTACTCTTAATTAATATTAAATTGGATTGGTTCAATCAAATAGAACATAATAATGATAAAACAATTAATGATTCTATAAGTTTTTATTATGTAAATGTATTGATACATTACTTAGCATTACTCTACTTATTTTTTTTTAAATACATTAGAGCAACTTTTTATACTTACATTTATAGAGTGTTCAATAAGTAACAAAATGAGTTTCTTTTCTCATTGTTAGTAACAATTAACCTATTTCCTTACTTAGTGAACACTCTGTAATGCCAGTTTACATAATTTTTAGACATAATTATTAATTTTTAATGCTTCAACTTATTTTAATTTTAATGTTTATAGTTTTTATTAATTTATTTATTACTATCAAACTAAAATATAACTTGAAAATAAAAATTTTAACTATTTTTAATTAGTCACGTTCCCTGGTTATCCATAGATTTAATAAAATGAAAAATTTTACTATTACATTTTGTAATAATAATCTTTAAATTTATATGAAATTGATTAATTAGGTCAAAAATTGTATTACCACTGAAAATTTGATTTTGTTCTAAGAATAATTCAAGTAGAGCAGTTTGTCATATTAACAAAAAATTACATCATTTACTTTAGATTATGATTACTCATAAATTACAAATCGTAAAATTTGAATAGCTTTAAATGTATACTAATTTTAACAAAAATTGTATGATTTTTGGCTTTAATGCCTAATAATTCCTAGAAATTATTATTTCAGATTTTCTTTTTCATCTTACAGTTATCTTTAATTTGATGTAGACTAATAACAGATAGGTTTTTTAAAACATTATCAAAAACTGAAAAAGAAAATATATTTGATATTATTTTTAAGTTTGCACATAACCTTGGTTAATTAATTAAATCTAAGACTTTCAAAAAAATCATGTCATTAGTAAAACAAATGTTTGAAGTAATATCAATAAAAATTTTGAAATAACCCGTACAGTTTTAAAATCAAAAAGTTATTTCAATTTAAAATAAAAATATAAAATATCAACAATGGCTGTTTTATTTCAACTGTAATTTTTTTGGACATTTCTCTTTATTACCAAGTCTGAGGGGGATTTTTTTTTAAATCGTGGAGCTGATAGCTTTAACTAGATACATTTTGTAATCATTTGATGTATTGTTGAGCAGTATTGTTCCAGTAGAAGCAAAAGTAATAAAGTACACAGATAAAAATAAAATTTAGCAAAGTAAAATCAATAGCTTCACAGTTAATGTTTTAAAATGATAAATATTAACTTTAAACAGTATCAAATAATAATTAAAAATATTTTGTTTTATTTAATCAACTAATAATAGAATAAAAATTATATTTTGGTATTATAAAAAATATTAAACAACCACTGCAAAAGAAAAAAAAATTCATGTATGAATATATCATACTGATTTAATTAGTTTATATTTAATACTAAACAACTATATTATATTCTTAAATATAATTGTAGAAAAACTCAGAAGATAAAAAATTAACATATAGTTTCCCAGAATGTGCAAAATCATACATTATTAATCCTTTTTTTTTTTGTTTATTAAAAGAAATTACCAAATGCATTACTTTTAATAATCTAATAATCATAATAAAAAAATATTTTATTGATTATTTCAATATTTTTTTTTTACAGGCTCAATAAACAAGATGTACAAAAGTATGGTCAAATTATTTTAGATTTTTCTTATTTTAGCAATACTATTGAAAATGAAAAAAAAATTGAATCTAATGTGGTAAGATTTTATAACTATTATAATAATTATTTTAATTGTTTACTTAAAACTAGGTGTATGAATTCATTTTTTATTTTCAGAATAAATTATACTTATTTTTTTTAATAGCATGTTAAAAATTGTTTTAGTCTAAAATAGTCCAACTAAAATATACTCTTGCTTATGGCCATTTTATTGGTACAGTTTTATAAAAATATTTGTTTTGAAAATACTTTTTAGTAAACTACATAAATATTATAATGTAAAAATAGTTTATTATACCTAAGTGTTATGTAAAATTTTATGTGATAAAATTTGTTCATTTACTATTGAAAAACATAAATAATCATAAAGAATGAATCTATCCTAGAGCTCCATGAGTTTTAATACATTTTTTTCTTGTATGTTCATAGGTTTTAAAAAATACTAATGAAGAATTAAAAGAGAATAATTTAGCTATTATCAACCAGTTTTATTTTTTATTTGAAAATGTATACAAATATATTCATGATTTAAATGAATATTTAGATGAAGTTGAAGAAGGAGCTTATATTCAACATACACTTGAAACCATGTCTCTTACTATTGAAGGAAAACAGCTTTTGGTAAAAAAATATAGTTCCATTTTTCTTTATTATAAAAAAAAAATTGTTAATGAATTTTTAATATCTGGGGGTCTACTTTTAATCTTCTGAAATTAACACTGTTCTTAATGAAAATAAATTCTTACTCTGTACTATCTTGTTCTTGTATAAATAACCTCCTGAATATGAATATGATGTCCATTTTTTCTCAAGAATAAAAGTTAGCTATCCAGATTTTATAAGATTATTTTGAGGTGTAAAATCTAAATTTATAAAATATATTTTTTTTTAGTGTGAGTCGTTGTATTTGTATGGAGTTATTTTATTGTTTCTTGATATTTACATTGAAGGTATTGTAAGGGAACGTTTATTGGTCGCATATCATCGTTACAATGCTCAACAATATGATAATGAAAATCCTATTGATGATATTTGTAAACTTTTACGTACTACTAAAACAACTCAGGCCAAAGGACCATCTTCTTATCCTGAATTTTATTTTAAGTAATTTATTTTTAAGTTTTATATTTTAAAATTTTAATCATTAATTATTATACATAAGTCTTTCATGTTAAAGCACATCAACCAATTTATTTTTCAAGAGAGCAAAATTAAATTGTTATTTTCCATTTAAGCTAATAAATTTCTTCTTTAAAAAAATATGTAATTCAATATAATTAATATCAGAAAATTTAAAATTAAGTAATATTTTATATATTGCTTAAAACAAGGACGTATTTAGGGAGGTGAAAAAGTCCCGGATAGAAAATTTATTTTGGAATTAAGGACAGTAGCATTTTTTTGTAAGCACAATATATAAAATATGGTAGGGTATGTAAGGGGGGCAATAAACCTTTACCTGGGGCGTCAAAACTCTAAATACATCTCTGGTTTAAAATAAACTAATAATCAAAAAATCCTAATTTTAGTTAATACATTCTTTAAATTCTAGCCCTTTATATAATCTATAAACGTTATATATTAATGAAATATCTTTTTGTATGTAAATTGTTTGTCCTAGATTTATCTGAGAAAATTTTCCATTATTTTTGATGTGCTTACCCTTTTCTAAAATTACTTTTAAAATTATATTAAATTGATTTTTCTGAAAATTCATTGGTTCTATGTACCCATGTTCCCCTAATCTGTTTATAATTTTGATGATGTACAAAATAAGTTTTTTAATTTCAAACATCTGATCACCTTAAATTGACATAAACAACATAATTTTAAACGTTTTTAACAAAGTATAATAATTAAAAAAAAACATGCTTAAAATATAAAAAAAAATTATTTTAATATAAAAGAAAATGTCATTAAAAAAGAAAAACGTGTATTTTAATAACCCTAATTATATAATAGATAAGTTTTATGTCAATTAGTTATTATTAGTAATTGTACTTTTCTGGGATATTTATGATTTTGAAAATATTTTGAAATTTTTTATTAAAAGAATACTCTGACTAAAATGTGAAATCTGAAAAAAATATTCATAGCCAGTTATTTCAGATTGGTCTTCAATTATTAAATGTATACTTTTTCAAATAAAATCATTTTTTGCATCGCAGAATATCAATGCTAGGAAATCGTTAGTGTAAAATATAAAAATAAATAATTATATTTTTCATTAATTTCTAGCTGTAATTATTTATTACAGGAGAGTACCTGTCAATCAAAATTTAGTAGATTTGGTTATTGGAAGATTAAGATCCGATGATATTTATAATCAACTACCATCATATCCTAATCCAGATCATAGAAGTACTGCACTTTCGGGACAAGCAGCTATGTTGTTTGTATGTTTATTTTTTAAATCAAAAACGTTACACGAGGAATCATCAATAATGAGAGAAATTGTGGATAAATTCTTTCCAGATAATTGGGTAAGCACACAACAAAGAATTTGTCACTTCTATTACTATTCAAAAATATGTAACTATTAAATTATACTATAATTTTAATAAATAAATTAAAAATTTTAAACAATTTCAACATTGTTTTGTAAAACTGTGTAAGTGGTTAAGAAAAATGATAAAAATACATAATCCTTAATTCACTATAAAAATAAATATCTTATCGATTTAATCATATTTATCAATACAATGCATAATATTAATAAAAATTGTAAAAATTATGACATTGTAGGTGGTTAATATCTACATGGGTGTAACCATAAATATAATCGATTCTTGGGAAACTTTTAAAGCAGCAAAAATTGCTATATCCAATACTATTCAAACAGGAGATATAAATCGTTTAATTAGTTCACGTTCAGCTGAACTTGAGGTAATTATACTGTGAAAAAGTTGATAAATTATTTTGAATTTACGTATTACTATAATAATAGTAAAAAAAGTAAACTATGTTTAAATAGGGGAGATCGTAGTGAAAGGCTTTTTCATATATTTTTTATTCGTCAATAACTTATACTCTACATGATATTCTCATAAAAACAATGTTTTGGTATTAAACATTTTTTTAAATAATAAAATAAGAACTTTTGCCACTTTGTTTCTTGTAGAGGTATGTTAAAATAGATATATCAATTATAGACTTAAGGCTACTCTTTTGGTAGGTTATCTGTGATATTTGCTCTAGATTTCACATTATATGATGAAGATTTTATTTATGTCTTTAACTTCTTAATTATTATTTTTAGGTATCACACATTAAATAAAGTGTTGGAATAGATTTTTAAATTATTTTGTTTGTACAAAAATTAGAATTAGTCCTCTTGGACTAATTTAAAGTTTACTGAAATTTTAATTAAAAAAAAATATTTTGTAGTATTTCGATTAATTATACTATTTAATTTGATTTCATAGTTTAGTCAAACAAAATAAAACAATAGAAAAAATGAAAACAAAACTAAGATATTTGTTATACTTAATATGTTCTCAAAAAATATCGAGAAAAGTTATAGTTATATCCATTAAAATATATAGTCAGATCATTAATTCCCCAAATGACTATTGACCAACTTTGTACATTTAACAAAGTACAGACAGATGGTCGACCTGATGCCATCTCATTATGGCCGATGGAACCAGTATGGGGGTAAGATGTGTGTCGCTATTAAAGTTTTTGTATAGCTACTTATCTGAAAACCGACAGCAAACAATGCAGTTGAATATCAGCGCTAGGGTGATGACTCAATGATCCACTATGCCATCCCATGCCCTCTAATCAAACAGGTTCACAACGTGAAGAAACCTCAAAGATTACAAAGTAAGGGAAATAAAATACAACACCAATACTTTTAGGAAAAACTAAATATTTTTAACTTGCCTAAGAATTGGCCTTACATGGTTAACCCATCAACACCCATGAAAAAAAAACATTGTGCAATACCACTATTACATTTATTCACATACTAACAGAATGCAAACTATACACAGAGACTAGTGCAGATCTACAACTATCTCGCCACCTCAGTCAAAGCCCCTTAAATTACGCAGATGAAGAAAATACAATAATTCAATTTCTACAAACCACTAATTTATACAATCTAATTTAAAACAATTAAATATAGAAGACAATGATTCTGTTGTTGAGTCTTATCTTATAAAAATAAAACATATGCTTATTATGTAGTCCAAAACTGTAAAAATTATTTTAAAAAAAGTAACAAATATTAGCTGTATACATGTTATAAAAAGGAATAAAATAATAAACATAATACGTGGTAAAATAAAACCAATATTTTTAGGATTTACATGGAAATTAAAATATATCAAAGCAAAACAGATTCATATTTTATAAAAATAAAAATAATGTATAGGTTAATTTTAATCATTTTTTTTTTGGAAATATTAAACATTATGTGTCTTTTATTTATAGTCTTATCTACAATTCAACAGTATATCATTATTTTAGATAGCTTATTCAACTGAAAAAAATCACGTTTTATCATAAAAAATACATAACTTAATTTTATATCATAAAGATCAAAAAGTATAAGTTTTAAGAAAATGCTTAAAATTTTTTGATGAATACAAAAATTATGAAAAAGAAATTAGTAAGAAACTGGATGTAAAAGAAGCAATTATGGTATTTAAGTTTATTAAATAATATCAGTTTACCCTTGACACTAAATTGTTTCGGTCTTCCCTGTTTATTTAATAATTATTCATATATTTATTATAAATAAATTTTTATCGACAAAAAAATATATAGGTGTTCAGTAAGTAAGGAAACAGCTTTCTATTGTTCTAATTATTTGTAATTACTTACCTGTTTCTTTACTTACTTAACACCTTGTATACAATCTATATTTTGTTTACAATAAGTAAATTATTTAATTATGTATATTTTGTAAACCTAGAAAATTACTATTGAAATAAAAAAGGTACTTAATTATCCTAACATAGAAAAGAAAATAATGGATAATACCAATGCTATTATGAATCTTTGTCGAAACTGCAACGTCTCCTTAAGATGGTACATTTTACACACTACTACTGTTCATCTTTGTAAGCATTAATTTTTCTTTAAGTATTAAAAAATAACCAATAAATGATTACATTTTTAAAGGACTCTATATTTAAGTAAAACTTTTTATGTCTCTTGTATATATTGGTCGAGTTCAATTAACAAATTTTGCTTAGAAATGAAATTTTTCTGTTTTGTTGTTCTGCATTTTAACTAGTGCCGGCGCTAGATTTTGCTTAAAGGAGAGGATTGAAGTAGGATAAATCCCTAATAAAAATTAGTAATGGGAATTTTCGAATATTTTATACAACCGAATAGTTTATTAACACGCTTTTATTAGTTTCACGTGTATGTTTGTTGTTTGTTGTTTGTTTGTAAGTTTGTAACTCTCCAAACGCCACGCGTTATCGCATATTCCGTCGTCTAGACTAGACTGTTATACGCATTCACCCCTCCCCACGCCATGCTCACAATACGACGGTACACTATTCCTATAAAAATTTATTTTTAGTTATCGTACCCGTACACGCGTGCTTGTCATCAATATTATATATATGTAAACAAATTTTTATTTTGACTGACCAATAACGCCCGCGTCTAATGCGCCTTACGTATATATATATATATTCCTACCGCCGTTTATACCTCGGGTATAACGTTAGTCCGACCCGCCCGGCCATAAAACACAGCTATACTTAGTGCATGATACTTTTACGTAGTTAAGTCGCATTATTTGTATAAATATATATATTCTAATTACTATTAAAATTAATATATTAACACGATTTATTCTAATTAAGAGATATAAAGTATTCATTCCGATTACGAGGGATGATTTCCGTATCGTCATTTTTCGTCACTACCTCCACGTTCCGGGAGTGAGTAATTTACGCGCCTGCTGCTTTCCTTGGATGTGGTAGCCGTTTCTCAGACTCCCTCCCCAGAATCGAACCCTGATTTCCCGTTACCCGTAACAACCATGATATTGATAGTAACTACTATCATAACATGAAACTAAAAAGTAAAAAATAAATATAGTTTAAAAAACTAAAAAAACACGCTTTTAAAGTACATCGAACTAAAAAGTTAAAAATAATTTTTAAAATAATTATGAACAAAAAATACTAGTATTATTGTGATAAAAGCGTGGGTGCTTTGTGCCATATTTTTCGTATATTGAGCGCCCGACGCTTTTATCACAATAATACTAGTATTTTTTGTTCATAATTATTTTAAAAATTATTTTTAACTTTTTAGTTCGATGTACTTTAAAAGCGTGTTTTTTTAGTTTTTTAAACTATATTTATTTTTAACACGCTTATATTAGTTTCACCTGTATGTATGTATGTATGTATGTATGTATGTATGTATGTATGTATGTATGTATGTTTGTAACTCTCCAAACGCCACGCGTTATCGCATATTCCGTCGTCTAGACTAGACTGTTATACGCATTCACCCCTCCCCACGCCTCGCTCACCTCATGACGGCACACCATTCCTATAAAAATTTATTTTTAGTTATCGTACCCGTACACGCGTGCTTGTCATCAATATTATATATATGTAAACAAATTTTTATTTTGACTGACCAATAACGCCCGCGTCTAATGCGCCTTACGTATATATATATATATTCCTACCGCCGTTTATACCTCGGGTATAACGTTAGTCCGACCCGCCCGGCCATAAAACACAGCTATACTTAGTGCATGATACTTTTACGTAGTTAAGTCGCATTATTTGTATAAATATATATATTCTAATTACTATTAAAATTAATATATTAACACGATTTATTCTAATTAAGAGATATAAAGTATTCATTCCGATTACGAGGGATGATTTCCGTATCGTCATTTTTCGTCACTACCTCCACGTTCCGGGAGTGAGTAATTTACGCGCCTGCTGCTTTCCTTGGATGTGGTAGCCGTTTCTCAGACTCCCTCCCCAGAATCGAACCCTGATTTCCCGTTACCCGTAACAACCATGATATTGATAGTAACTACTATCATAACATGAAACTAAAAAGTAAAAAATAAATATAGTTTAAAAAACTAAAAAAACACGCTTTTAAAGTACATCGAACTAAAAAGTTAAAAATAATTTTTAAAATAATTATGAACAAAAAATACTAGTATTATTGTGATAAAAGCGTGGGTGCTTTGTGCCATATTTTTCGTATATTGAGCGCCCGACGCTTTTATCACAATAATACTAGTATTTTTTGTTCATAATTATTTTTAATTTTTTAGTTCGATGTGCTTTAAAAGCGTGTTTTTTTAGTTTTTTAAACTATATTTATTTTTTTAGCATAAACTATTCGAATGGGCTACCGAATGGTTTTAAAAAATATTCGATTAGTTCTACCTAAAATTTTTATTAAGTATACTTAATTATAATAAGAAGATAATTAACGATACTTATAAATAAATTATTATACAATTAATAATAGTAAAAATTAGTGATGGGCATTTTCAAATATTTTAAACTATCGTATAACTATTCAAATTGTGTTTATACAACCGAATAGTTTATTTTTAGCATAAACTATCGAATAGTATTAAAAACTATTCGAATATATTGTGTAACTAACGAATATTTTTACTATTCGAATATTTTTTGAATGACTATCGAATAGTGGACAACTATCGAATAGTTCGATAGTTTCTATTCGATATTTCCCATCACTAGTAAAAATGATTACTGGGTAAAGATATAATTTTTTAAATTCAACACAAAGCTAAAAAGTTATTGGTTTTATGCGTTTTTTTGTATCTGTCCATAAAAGTTCTCAGCTATCACTGGACCTATTTTAAGTACATTACGTCTTTTGAATTCGATTTTAATTTATCTGAACTTGAAATCGCTAAAAGTTGGAAAAAACTTTCTTATTTTTAGAAGTTTAAAAAAATATCTCAAAATTACGAAACTGTAAAAAACGGCATTTTAGCTTCGATGCGAAGCTGAGAAGGTATTAATTTTACTATGATGTGTTTTTTTATTTTTTTTTTTGTGACTGTGAACGCTCAATCTCAGCTCTCGCTGGACCGATTTTGATGAACAATATGTCAAAAGATCACAAATCGTATCTAGTCGAAGACATTACCCTCAAAAATTGAAAAAAATTCCCTCGTTCCCCGTAAACGGGGGAAATCCCCCAAAAAATTACAAATTTAAAAATCGCTAATTTTCGATATTTTTTCAATTTTTTTTACTTAAAATTGCCATAACTTTTTTAAAAATGATCGAATCAATATAATTTTTTTTTTTATAGATACCTTAAATATTTACCTATCATTTTATATATTTTTGTGAACATTTGACCCTTTAACAGCCCACAGGAAGGGTTTCAAAATGGTAGCTTTTTTACAAAAAATTAACTTTTTCAACTTAACTTTTGAAAATGTTCCGGAAAGACTGACACTTTTATATATACCTTAAATTAAAGCTAATGTAATATACTTTAATTTGAAAAAAAAAATTTGACCTCTGGATTTGTCTTTGCGGTAAAAATGACTACCGTATGCAAAAATATGCTATTTTTGTGTTAAAATTCTGGGTTTTGTATTTTATTTTATTTTAAAATACCTGACAAGGGGAGTACAGATTTTCATAAATATTATATAAATTAAAATTGATATAGTATAGATAGTTAAACTTATTTAAATATGTTTGTTTCTTTTAAGTCGAGAAAAATAACTTTGAAATTTGAACTAGCTTAAATAGCCAATTTTTCAACCGCCGGAAGCAACGTACGGTTGCCGAGTTGGTAAAATTTATGTTTTACACGCTTGGGGTACGAGGTTCCAACCCGCATATGGCAATGAATTTTTTGCATTTTTTCTTAATTCTTTTTAAGTTAGTATAAATTTTAACTCGTTTGATTTTTATCACATTTAGATTCAATAACTTCAATAAAGATCAAGGATCCCATCACTTTAGTCGCCCCTTGCAAGAAGAAATTTCTTATTCGTATTAAAATTATTTTACTATATTTTAAGTTTTCGCTTCGATGCAAAGCCGAGAAGATATTTTTTTGTGACTATCATTTATTTTCTCTGCTCTAACTTGACCTACTTTTTTCAACAATACGTCAAATTACTACAATTCGTATCTAGTTGAAGATATTACTCTCAAAAATTGAAAAAAAAATTCTAATTTATCAATTAAACAGTTAGTTATTACATCGTCTCCATAAAGACAATTAAAATCATTAATTTCTAATGTTTTCAAAATATTTATTAACGAATGAAGTTTGATATGATAGGTTTCAACTACAAAATTAAATCATTTTACTTTGTAATTTAATAATTTTTTTACTCTATTTGTGTGTGCTACTACTAGACTATAATATTACAATTTTTTTTTGTAACATGTTGCTATATAAATCATTTCTAAAAAAAATGATTGTTTTTTCTCCTGAATTAACAATTGATTTTTACAAATATAATCAAATTTTATAATACACTCAATTGAGTAAATCTTTTTAACAACTTTGTTTTGATTGGTACATTTAGTTAAAGTAAATCATTAAAATTAATTAAGTTCTCAATATTTCAATTATAGAATCTTTTCAACAAACAACAAAAGTTCCTAGGAAATTATTACTATTACTTCTATTTAAGTTATCTATTACCATAAAAATGCAAAAAAATATTGAGCTTTTCTGATAAATTTACAATAAATAGTAATTATAAAACTTTCTGACTGCATATTGATCTTAACGATACAATTTTTTTAATTGTCATAAAATTTTCTATTTAATTATGTCAATGTCAAACTTACCAATTGAGCTAAAAGTTATGGTAAAATAAATTTTTTTTTTTTATTATAAACATTTACAACAATCAACTTTAAACGATTAACAAAATAGGTTAAATATGTCATTTTCCTTATTTTTAACTTATTAATAATCAAATTAATATTAAATATTATATCAAATCAGTATTAATTTAAAACAATTTTTTTTGTTCTTAATTATTTTTTTTTATATGTAAAAACTATTTTTTAATAATATTAAAACTTAGAAGTTATAGAAAAAGTCTAATTGCACATTTTAAAACATCGCGAAAAGTTGATTTAGAATAGTATATTTTTGTTTCTGATGGAAGTTCCTTGTAGTCCAGTGTATAAAACTTATAACTTTGTTAACTGTTATAACTTTATCAAAAATGACCAAATCAGTATATTTTTTTTTATTTAGATGCATGTCTTTATCTATCATTTGGTTTTTTTTATAAATCTAACCCTTTACCTGCCCACAAGAGGGATTCAAAATATTAACTTTTTTTTTTTTAGTTAAAGTAAATCATTAAAATTAATTCAGTTCTGGATATTTCAATAGTAGAATCTTTTTAAATATCAAAAATTACTTAGAAATGATTACTATGATTTCTATTTAAGTGTTCTATTACGATAAAAATGCAAAAAAATAATGAGTATTTTCTGATAAATGTACTGTAATTAATAATTATAAAATTTCCTGACTGCATATTAATCTCAAAAATTACATTGTTTTAATTCTCATAAAATTTTCTATTTAATGATTTATTCTAGTTAACGAACGAGTAATTTTGTCGAATAACAGAAAAAATTCCCAAACAAATTTTTTTTTTTTTTAAAGTAGGAAATTGGTGGATTATTCCAAAAGCAACATCAACTCTTATTTCTTTAATTATATCCTGATTAGTAGTTCTTTGATTTTAAAATATAATATATGAATAAATATTAATTATAGTTTTTAAATTTAGTATGAAATTGATATTTAATATTGTAATTTAAATGGAAAAATTATAAAAATACTAAAGAAGTTATATTTTGCTTTACTTTTACGTGTATACAAATTTAAAGGGCTTGATACAATAATTATCAATAAAAACTGTTTGTTACTATAAATGAATGCACTGGACTTCAAGGAACTTTCATCAGAAGCAAAAATATACTTTTCTATATCAAATTTTCGCGTTGTTTTCAAATCTGCAATTAGACTTTATCTATCAGTTCTAATTTTTTATATTATTACTAATTACATAAAAAATAATAATTAAAAGAAAAAAAAATTGTTTTCAAATTATTACTGATTTGATTTTTAATATGTTAAAAATAATCAGTCCAAATTTTCATTTTTAACCTATTTTTTTGGTTTTTTAAAGTGGATGAAAAATTTTTGATAAAGATTTGTGTAAGTTTATAGTAAAAAAATTGAATATATTACCATAACTTTTAGCTCAATTACAAGTTTAAAATTGATATCTAACCAGTCAACAAAATCAAGTCAAAATTTCCAAACAAATTTTGTTTTTTTAAAAGTTGAATTAAAATATGTATTATGACATACTAATAGTCCTCAAGATTGGAATTGAGCTTTTTTTTTTTACAGCCTCGCAAAAATTAAAAAATATGAGTTTTTTTAATTTTCTCAAAAAATATTTAACTTACAAAAAAAAGTTTCGTACAAAAGTTGTTTAAAAGACAATTATAAACAAAAAAATTATCTTATATTTTTTCATTTAAACAAATATTTTTCGAGTTACATTACATTTAATATGAGTACTAAAATTTATATTCCATTTTTTTCATTTTACGGTTACTTTTTATCATGTTATACTTACATTAGACACAATGTTATAAATGCATATGTGTGTATGTGTGAGTTTATTTATTTATTGTATCATTAAAGTGTAGTGTATATTGAGATACAACCGATAGAGTAGGTAATTGATTTGACGCTATATTGTTTAAACCCAACTAAACGCTAAATTGTACATTCCGAAACAACAATCATATTATGTCAATTGCCACCGGAATTTCTGGTTATATTTTTATTTTTCTTTGCCTTAATCTCAACTACTTGGGGTCGGGCACCCTTATCCTAAGATTCCACTTGACACGATCTCCCACATCTTCTACGCTCACATCAGCTGTCCTCAAATCGCATTCAATAGCATCCCTCCATCTCTTTTTTGGTCTTCCTCTATCTCTTCTTCCTTCAACATTCATTTCTATAACTGTTCTTACAGCTTTCGATTCTTCTTTCCTCATACCATGACTAAACAATCTAAGTCTATTTTCTGTCATCTTATCCACGATTGACGCAACACCTATACTTCCTCTTATATGCTCGTTCCTTATCCTATCTTCTCTAGTCACTCCACTCATCCAACTAAGCATTCTCATCTCTGCTACACTTATTCTCTGCTCTACTTTCTTATCAACCGCCCAACACTATGAACCATACATCATAGCTGGCCTCACAATTTCATACTAAATTTAAAAACTATAATTAGTATTTATTCATATATTATATTTTAAAATCAAAGAACTACTAATCAGGATATAATTAAAGAAATAAGAAGTCATGTTGCTTTTAAAATATTTCACCAATTTCTCTAAAGGAAACACTATCTATAGATTTGCATCGAAGCGTTTCTTATGATAGTGATTTTAATCACTGTCAGATATCATTTATACTTGTTCCATCTATGCCTCGTCCACACTGTGCCTCGACCCCACTGTGCTACCGTTTTTTTAAAAATAAATATCTGCATTTTGAAACTAATATAGCCTTAAAAAAACAAACACTGGTACTACTGAAATTTAAATAGAAAGTACTATATATAATAAGATTTTTTTAGTAAGTAGTTTATAAAAATCTAAGTACAAAAAAGGTATGAAAGTATGATCACCTACGCATGAATGAAAAAATATTGTAACAAGAAACTATAATAAGTAAAGCAATAGTGTAATCACACCATTTTTTCTAACTGGACTCTGGGATAGTGACCCTTAAAGATTTGCAGCCCTCAAAAATTATATTTTTATAGCATGGTCTAATATTTTCTATAAATTGGGATAGATTTTTATCTGAAATAATATTTAATTAGTACACGTTTTTTTTTCTCTTGATAGTTTAATAAGCCAATAATAGTATAAAATTTTTCCTGTTCATAAAAATCTAATGAAAAACCTAAGTACAGAAAAGGTTTAAAAGACACCTATGTGTATATAAAAAAATAGTGTTTAACTCAATTTTTGAAAATATTCTGAAAAGTCTAATAACTTCTAATCTGCATCAAATTATATCTTTTGAAATGTACAATAATTAAAAAAAAATATTCAGATGGTTAGAGTGAAAAAAAATTCAATAAAAAAAAAAACTTCAATTTTAGTTTTTGGAAATGTTTTATTTGACAACTTTTAAGTTATAAAAAAATTAATGTATTTTAAGAGTACTTATATGATATAAAATAATTCCTCACAATATTATTTCTATGGGTTATTTGACTTTAAAGACGAAAAGCTTCATTTTTTTCACTTCTTTTTCTAAAAATTGCCATAACTTATTGAAAAATGAATTAATCAACATAATTTTTTTAGTTACGATGCAAAGCTGAGAAGGTATTAATTTTATTGTTTTTTTTTTTTTTTTATTATTTTTTTTTTTTTTGTGTCTGAACGCTCGCTCAATCATAGCTCTCACTGGACCGATTTTGATGAAAAATACGCCAAAAGATCATAAATTGTATCTAGTCAATATAATTTTTTTTAGTAAATACCTTAGGTATTTATTTGTTATTTAATATATTATTGTGCACTTTTGACCCTTTACCTACCCACAGGCGAGGTTTCAAAATGGCAACTTTTTCAATTTAACTTTTGAAAACGTTACAGAAATATTGACACTTTTATATAATCCTTAAATTAAAGGTTATGTAATATACTTTATTATAGAAAAGAAAAATTTCGGACTTTATTTTGTTTTCATGGTGAAAACAGTCATCAAAGTTAATAAAAAAAAAATACGACTTTTGTAAAAAAATTCTTTTTCATATTTTTAACTTTATAACGCTATAACTTTTTGAAAAAGGATCAATACAATTTTTATTGATAAATACTATTTATATACCTCTTTCATTCGACATACTTTTTTTTTAAATCGGACCATTTCCCTTTATGTTTTTATATATTATAAATAATATAATAAGGAAATAGGGGATCATGTAACTTATGGAATAATTCACCAATTTTTTAAAATTAAAGACTGTCTACAGATTTGCATCAAAGTGTTTTTATGATAATCTCTGTCAGATATCATTATACTTGACCCGACTATACCACGTCCCCACTGTGCCGGTTTTTTTTTTACGTTGAAAATTACACTTCTTAAACAAAACAGAACTTTCTCGTTTTAGTTGTAGTAACAATAATAAGGTATATTATCTTCAATGCTAGTCTTATATTATAAAAAAAATTGTTAGCATGTAGTATGGTATTTTAGCCTGGATAGCCATTGATTGCAAAGAATTTCTCTTAGGCGTTGAGTTTATTTTTTATTCTAGACTATTAATTAACTTATTTTTCCAACAAAAAAACGAGCTTAGGAGTTAAAACTAGCTAATACAATTAACGTAATTAAATATTCTAATGTTTAATTTTCTTTAATGATTTGGACAGTAAAATCTTTCCTCAGTACATCTCTTTTTAGATGATTTTTTTTATTCCATTCAAAAATAAATTGTAATTATAACATAGTAAATAGAAAACTTTTATTTTATTTTAGTGTCTGAAAATAGTAAAAAAAGTAAGCAAATCCACGATTTAATTAATAGTCAAAGTTCTTACAGTGACTTATTAATTTTTGAGTTATTAATTACAACATCAGAATTTGAACTGAACATAAAAGAAACTTTTAAAAGTGTAAGTTGTTCATATAAATATAAAGGTATATTATATATATATATATATCATATAAATAATTTTTGTTGTTATTATTTTATTTTATAGTTATTAGAAGAAAAAGAAGCAAGATGGTTGAATAGAAAACAAAAATGTGTTGATCGTATGAATGAAATGTCTGAAATATTTTCAGGATTGACAAATTTGTCTAGAATTCAAAAAAATGGTAAAAAAGAAATAACATGATATAAAATAATTCTTTAAACTGAATACTAAATTTTTCTTAAGAAAACTTACAAATTTGGTTTTTGAATATTGGAAAACAAATTGAAAAAATTACAATGGATAACGAATTAGTAACTAGTAGAAAAATTACACAAATAATAAAAGCATTAGAAGAAGTACAAGGTAGGCATTTTTATTTATTTTGATAATCTTACTAAATTCATAATTATATTTAATTATGTAGAATTTCATCAGCTCTCAAATAATTATCAAGTTAGCCAAACTATAAAGGATACTCATAATTATCTCCGTGAAATGATAAAAACTATCAACGTAAAGGATAATATTTTAATAGATCTTCAAATTGTTGGAGATTTTAGTTATGCGTGGTATCATATTGATAGATTTACAAATTTAATGCAAAATAAAATTAAAAAAGAGCCTGGATTAGTACTTAGACTTCGTGCAATGTTTTTGAAAGTAAAATTAATCAATTAATTTTCAAAATATATAATAATTAATAATTAAAGTCTTATCAAATTTTATTAATGTTATTTAAGTTAGTATCGTGCATGGAAGTTCCATTAATTCGTATTAATCAGTGTGGCAGTGAAAATTTAATGACTGTTAGCAAATACTATTCACATGAATTAATTGAATACATACGTAAAGTATTGCATATTATACCTGAAACAATGTTTAAATATATGACTGAAATTGCTCATTTACAAACTAATGTTATTAAAGAAATACCTACTAGGCTTGATAAAGATAAACTTAATGACTATGCTCAACTAGAGGAAAGACTTAAGGTATATGAACTTTTTAAAATACAGATAGAATTAAAATATACAATTGTTATTCTAAAAATTAAACTTTAATTCAGGTAGCGAAACTTACACATTTAGTATCAGTTTTGACAGAAGGTGTGTTATGTATGAAGAGTACTTTGGTTGGAGTAGTAGAAATTGATCCAAAACAACTTTTAGAAGATGGAATAAGAAAAGAACTTGTTCAACACATTGCAGTTGCGTTACATAATGGTCTTATATTTAATTCAAAAGCAAAGGTAAAAATAAATAGAAATAAAAATTGTTCTTTTATTTTTCATTTAGATTTCAAATGTGTTCAACATTTTTATAAATTTAGCTACTGCATTACAGTTATAGTTAATAAATTTTTTAGTGATCAGCTATAAAATTTTACATAAATATTTTAAGATACTATTTGCATAATTCTAAACCTTGGATTATAAGGTTCATTTATCGTAGATATGCTGTTTGGTTAGACTGAATTACATTCAAATGGCGAAATTTTTGACTACATAAAGCTGATAGCAGCTGATATTAACAATATTTTTAATTCATAGCGATTTCCAATTTTATGTGTTTTATGATTTAGAAAAATGTAGCACTCCTAAAAATTAAGTTTGGTGCTTGGTATTCCAATTTAAAATTTTTGATGTTGCTGTTTTAAACAAGTTTGGAGAACATTAAGTCTTCTTCTTTCTCGCCTTAATCCCAATTACTACTTACGCTCTCTCTCTTCCACATAAAATAATCAATCTGTGATCTATTCCTCCCACTCTTATAAGTTATATAATGTTCTGCTCTCTTTCTAAAATAAGTATTAACCACAGCAAGATCATACAATACTGCGAAATCCAGTATTCTTTCTCCAGCCTCATTCTTTCCACTAAAACCATACCCTCCATGTACTCTTTCATATCCTCTCCTCTCATTACCTACATGTCCATTCATATCTCCACCTATAACCGCTTCCTCATTGCCAGGTACCCCTTGTATCACCTCATCCATCTCTCTCCAAAACACTTTCTTGTCTATTTCATCACATCCCACTTGTGGTGCATAGGCACTTATTACATTCAGCACTTTTTTTTCGAATATCAATTTTACGACCATAATTTTGTCACTTTTCCTAGATACTTCTACTACTTTACTTTCATCTCCTCATCCATTATTATCCCTACACCATTCTTTGTACTAGACTTATCTGAGTATATTATTTTATAACCCTCACCTATTTCCCTTGATTTCTCTCCTTTCCACTTAGTTTCCTGCACACAACAAATGTTAACTTTTCTCCTCTTCAATACTTCTACTAATTCTCTACTTCTATCAGTTAATGTTCCAACATTCCAAGTACCTATTCTTACTTTGTATCTATCTTTCTCCCTTATACATGAGTCCAGCCTAGAGTTAAGTGGTGATGTCCCTACACCGTTGACACTACAAGCATTGGGTAGACCTGTACACATGACTTTTGAAACAGCTACTGCACAATTTATCCGGCTGGTATCATATACTTTATGCCTTAGGCCTTCTCCGTTTTTAAACACTTTATTCCCTCTCGCCTGTTGTCCCTGTATACATCCGAGATGCGACAACTCCCCTAAGTTTTGTTCAGGACACCTCATACTATTTGACAAAAATTTTTACGCCGGCTGTCGACCTGACACAATCTCATTAGTCGCCTCTTACGACTGGCAGAGGTGCCATGGAAGTATTCTTATCCCCTACCCACAGGGAATATTAAGTGTTACACTCAAACTAATATTTTTCCATTGATCTTCGCCAAATAAATTTACAGCCATATATACTGAACTAAAAAATGATTCCCAATAATAAAACACTACTAAACATTATTTTTGTCAATTTTATTATATCTTTTGTTAAAAATGTTTACAAATGTAAAAAATAAAATAATGTTTATAAGTTTATAGTAAAACAAAATAGAAATATAAAAAACATAGCAACTTATCAAAAGTTATGATCAGGTAATTTTCTGATGTAGCCTTTTAAAAGTTCTAATTTCTATGAGTAAGACCTACTCATAGAAATTCAAGGCATGGATAGGCATGAACCATGTCTTTATATAAAAAAAAAAAGCAAGTTTGCCTCCAAAATTATTCATTTGATTGATTTAAGTTTATTTGAGACTTTATTTTTTCTTCATTACATAATTTTGGAAAAAGTGTCATTTACATTTAAATGTGAGCTTTGTTTATGAACACCTTAAACACCCATTTAGTTTAGGCCTGTCTATAAGTTTAATCGACCCTTTCTTCATTATATAATATGTCAGATTACTTGCAAAAATAAGTTGAACATTGCAAATGGAGCATCAATGGTATTCATCATTGACTTAAATGTATGGTTAAAGATAGTTACAACTGAACAAGATTTTTAAAATAATTTTAGACAAGTGAACTTTTAACTAAACTCGATGTACTTGGAAACACAATGGCTGGTTATCGACGTTCTTTTGAATATATTCAAGACTATATTGGAATATATGGCTTGAAAATTTGGCAAGAGGAATTAAGCAGAATTATTGGTTTAAATGTTGAAATGGAATGCAACAGTTTTATGCAAGAAAAAATTTTAGACTGGCAAAGTGTGTATCAAAGTAAAATTGTACCTGTTCCTTCATTTCCACCTTGTGATAATCAATCAAAAACTTTTATTGGTCGACTTGCCAGAGAACTAATTCGCATAACTGATCCAAAGTATTATAAAAAAATGATTATATTTCACTCATCAAAAATACTACATTTCTTTATTATTTATTTGTTTTCTAGAATAGCAGTTTACAAAGAACAGACAACAGCTTGGTATGATTATAAAACAAATGAAGAAATCATTAACATTAGATTTTATTCTAGTATAACTAATTCAATAAGTATTTGTGGACTGACTGGATTAGACAAACTTCTTGGATTTATGATAATTACCGAACTTAAAGTAATTATTTAAAAAAAAAATTAATTAAATAAACTAAATAGAATATCATTGCTAAAAAAATATTATAAGTTATAATATTAATGGTCACTTAATCTAATTTTTATGAAGCAATCAATTTCAAATATATTTGTAGATCTTTTTTCTTATGTATATTACACATAGTTAAATTCACAATAATAAAAATAATATTAAAGGGTATAGAAGAAAAAAGTTGTAGTCTTTTTATCCAAATTTTTCAAGAAAGCCAAAACTAAGTTATAAAGATCTATCCTTTTAATAATAAAAAAATAGTTAATTTAATAATAGCAAAATGAAAAATTCTTTTTCGAATTACATTACTTGATATTACTTCTAATAAACTAACAAATCAAACCATAAATCAAAATCCCTTCAATTATTTCTTAGAAATTTAAGATATAACAAAACAATTTTTTTTAGAAAATTTTGGAATTTTTACAAAGTAATGTTTTGAAAGATAAAGATTGGCTATATACACTAGGTACTATTGCAAAGGACTTAATATCTAATGATGGGATTATTAGTAAGTATTTTTGTACTAATTAATTATTAAATTTTTTATTAAAAATATTAAACAATATTGATATTAAGTGTCATCTCATTAAAAAATTGAAAGAATTATATTAATTTTTATAGCTACACAATTTATAAAAATACATATGAAATCCTATATAAGATATTTTTAAAGAGTTATTTTTTCTTCTTAGGCTTATATTTTTTACCTGTCCAAAATACTTAATATCTTACATGCAATCTAAGATAATCTTAATAATTTATCAATGAAAAAATTTTTATAAGTCTTATTCTTGCCTCGATGTTATATGTATACATATAGAACAGTGTTTTGAATCTGAATTAAATTGATACTATAGTAAAATGTAAATAAACATCATAGCTCTAAACCACAAAACACTATAAATAAAAAATAATGTTCAATACTAGTAATAAAAAAACCCAAAATACTGAAAGTCATAAAAAATCAAACTTAATAACCAAGGAAAAAATTTGGTTTTAAAACCCTGAATATAACTATGTAAAACTATAAAAAAAAATGTTGATTAATTAAGAAAGTATTATCCATATTGAATTTGGATATAAAATTAGTAAATAGAGTTAATAGTTTTTGTACTTAATTTATAAAAAGAAAACTTATTTAAGAAAGAAAAACAAAATAAAACTTCTGGATCTAAATTTTTTGTATAAAGGGAAAACTTAAAATATTGCTCAGTTACTTTTAGAAAATAATTTGATTTTCTGTAAAATTATAACATTTATAATATTTCTCAAAACACCAAAATTAGAATTTTGATGTTTTATTCTATTACATTAATTAGAAATATAGATAAAATTTTCTAAAATATTGTGTAAAAATATTTTCATTTACATTTATAATTCTTGAAAATATTAAAGAATAAATTGTTTTAATTTTAATTATGTCATTTCTATTAAATAAAATTGCTTCATTATTTCAATGTTTTAAAAAAATGTTTAACATTGTAAATATTATTATAACAACTAGTCTGAATAAAATGAGTATATTATTCAAATTGTTTCAAATATTACTTTTTATCCATAAAATGAACAAAATTGAAAGAGTTATTTATGTTTTAAATTTTTTAATAAAAACTCTTTATGAATAAATATATAGTACAATAAATTTTAAAACATTGACGGAAAGACCTTTTTTCCTAGTCATATGGTAGATAGTAGTGACAACAAAGTCATGTTATTTATATTAGGGTTGGCGGTACTAAAATTTTAGAGATGGTAATTTCTCATAGTTAGTTTCATTATTATTAAAATGTGAAAACAATTTTTTTAATATAAAGGAGGATATGACATATACATTGTATAATGGCACTTGTACCAGGTAAAATGTGTGGCCGGAGTAAAAGAAGATATTGAGGTAAGAGTAGGAGTTCATCAAGGTTCTACTTTAAGCCCTTACTTATTTTCAATAGTGATGAATGAAATTACTAAAAAAATACAAGGGGAGGCACTGTGGTAAATATTGTTTGCTGACGATATAGTGTTAATAGAAGGAAATTAATCAAATTCTAGAGATAAGACACATCTACCTCTAGAAGGAAAGGGTTTAAAAAAAAGTAAAAGTAAGACACATTATATAGAGTAAGAGTTTGACAAAGGAGATCATGTTGTAGGTGAAATGAGGAGATTAATAACAATAAACCAAGACGTAATAAAAGAGGTGGAAACTTTTAAGTAATTAGGATCAGCTGTACAAAATAGTGGTGGTAATGAAAAAGATGTAAGACACTGGATTAAGTGTTAGTGGGTGAAGTGAAAAGAAGCATCAGGTGTGTTATGAGATCAGTTATGATTTATAGTTTAGAGTGTTAGGTGGTTGACAAAAGAATAGAGCAAAGATGAGAATACTTAGATGGATTAGTGAAGAGATAGAAAAGATAGTATAAGAAACAAACATATAAGATGGAGTATATGTGTAGGGTTAATCGAGGATAAGATGACCGAAAATAGATTTAGATGGTTTGGTCATATTATGAGGAGAGAGAAATCAGAAACTGTAACAATAGTTATGGAAATTTATGTCGAAAAGAGAAGAGGTAGAGGAAGACCAATAAGAGATGGAGGGATGTAATGTGATACAAGGACGGTTGATGTGTTCATAGATGTTGTAGGAGATTGTGTCAAATAGAAGTTTAAGATAAGGATGGTCAACCCTATGTGGTTGGGATAAAGGCAAGGAAATAAGAGATTTTCTGATACATTTTTTGTGTAAAAATCATCATTTTTGAAACTATAAACAACATTATAAATTTTTATAATTTTTCCATAAAATTTACAGTACTAAATCATTTAATATCAATTTCATACTAAATTTAATTACAATATTAAGCATTTATTTGTGTATTATACTTATAAATCATATAACTTGTAATTGATATATAAATTTTTTTCAATTAATTTTTCTAATATTCTTTTATTGGCAGATGACACTAAAATTTTTAAATCTATTAGTTGTTTTAATGATTCTATTCTTATACAAAAAGACATTAATAGTTTTTATAGCTGGTGTATATCCAATGGGATGTCTTTAAATATCAATAAATGCACTTGCATTTCTTTTACTAAAAAACGTAATTCGTTTCTCTTTAATTATTCTATTATTAATCAAAATTTATTTCATTCTTCTCAAGTAAAAGATTTGGGCATTATTTTCGATTTTAAACTCTTGTTTAACCTCCATGTATTATTCATAAAAAAAAAAGCATTCTCTATGTTCTGTCTTATTAAGCGTAATTGTACAAATTTCAATAGTCCAATGGCATTAAAAGTTCTTTTATTCGTCCTCAACTTGAGTATGCAATAATAATTTGGGAAACACACAATACAGGCCACCATAATCAAATTGAAAAAATTCAGAATAAAGTTCTTAGATTTTTTTTGTTTTAAATGCATTATATACAGACACCCCACTCTGATTATACTAATATTTTAAATATGTTGAATTTAAGTACATAAAAAAATAGAAGAATTCAATTTTATTTTTCATTTCTTTTTAAACTTCTAAATAATAAGGTAGATGATTCTTTTTGTTAAATAGCATATCTTTTAAAGTTAATTGCCATAATGTAAGAAATAAAGATTTATTTTATACTCCTCACAGTTCTAATAAATTTTTATCTTGTGTCTTAATATTTTATCAACTGTTGGGAATCAATCTTTTTTAGATATTTTTAGTTAATATTAATGTTTTTTTCACTATTCTAATTATGTAGTGCTATTTAATTAATATTTTTGTTTACTTATTGTATATTATTTAGTTTTATATAGTTATTGTATATATTCTTTTGTTTATTCTATATATTATCACATTCTGTAGTTATTTTGTGAAGTTTGGACTTATTGTCCGTAAATAAATAAATAAGAAAATAGAAATACATGTTGCTTTTGGAATAATATAATAATTGCTTTAAAAAATTCAACAATATCTACAGATTTGCATTTAAGTGTTTTTTTTTTATGGTAATTTTAATAGTTGTCAGATATCATATTAATCCTAATTATGCAGTGTCCCCACAGTGCTGTTTTTTTTTTTACTGAAAAAAGGATATTGAAAAAATAATAACTATTAATATTTTAAATGTACATTAATCTATTTTTATGTAAATAAAATAAAACATTTTTTATAATTTATTAGGTAATCCAGTTAGAACTTATCAAAAACATTATTCAAAACTCCAGAAAATATTACCATCAATTTTGGAGTCAATTATGAAGATAGGACAACTTCAAATAATTCGAAAACAAATATTTTTTGAACTTGAAGTGTCATGTAAATTAAATGCTAAAAATGTATTTGACTGTTTATATACAATGAATAAGTAATTTTATCTTTTAAAAAGTCTCATATTTGATTTTATTTATGTTTTGTTTTTTTAGGGCTGTATTAAATGAGATTAAAATACATTTTAGAAATCCAAATAACAAACCATATCCAAACAGTGATAATCCATTATTATCAGAATTAAGTAAAATGATGGATTGGGCTGGAATAGGAAATCCATACTCTAAAATTTATATCACAACTTCTAGCTCTCAATATATTTCATTAATAACTTTTTTGTTCACAATTGCTCAATTCTCTAAATTGCATTATTCGGATGTTTTAGGTAAATAATAACAGTATTAAAGTGTATTTAGTTTTACTTTGTATCTTTATATATATGTAATGTTAGAGACTTAGTGATAGGATTGTGTATGAGTAGTACCTATAGATACCCTAGTACTACCTGTAAAATTTACAAAATTCAAGTATTTATATTATGTATTGTTTCCACACAATTAAAGTAAAGTAAAAATCAAAGGGAAATGAATTGAAGGGATAGTTATTGCACTTCCTTAAAATTTGTTATTAGTTAGAGGGGAGGGATAGAAAAAAGAAAGGCTACACTTCTCTCCCTTCATTTGGCCCCTTGAACTCAACTCAACTAATTTAGTCTGAATATGCCATCATATTTAACATTATGTATGTTCTATATAATAGAAAGAAAATGTTGGTTAAATTTGTATGTTCTAAGTTAACTCTTTTACATGGCATAAACTGTTAGTAATCTAATATAAACATATTGCTTTTGAGATATAATAAATAAGAAAAAATTACTCATTACTAAACTTTTAGGAAAAACATGTTGGTAAAAAAGTCAAAAAAGTGTTTTGGTAACATTAAATATTAAACATTATAAAAAAAATATGTATAAATAGATATATTGTAATTCAACTAAATAATTAATTTCTATTCATGATAATACTTTTAATGCTAGCCACTCAATTACTCTTGAAATAATATTCATGTTTAGAAAATAATTTCCTTAAAATAATTATTTTTAGTACTTTTTAGTTTATATATTTCTTTTTATCAGTAAATTATTTTTTAATTCATCCCTTATACATTATAAAAGTTTAAAATTTATTTTTTTAATTGGCAACATACATATTTAACTAGTTTATTAAATAAAAAACGATCAAATTAAGAAAATAACTGGCCAATAATAACATTTGACCCATTAATTTTGAATTTATTACTATTTTAAAATATAGACTAGAAGTGAGGCGTGGCAATATTTATCATCAGACATTTCTCAGGTGCAACTCTCCTCTTGTTAATAACTTTCAAAATACTAGTGCAACTAATAAAAGTTTTTATTGTCTAGTCTATGTTTTAAAATAGTAATAAAATCCGAAATAATGGGTCAAAAGTTGTAATTGACAAATCATATTCTTAATTAGATAATTTCCCATTTTAAAAGCTAGTTAAAAATATAAGTTTTCATTTAAAAAAATTAATTTAACACCTTCATAAGGTATAAGAAATGACTTAATAACTAATTAATATGATATAAATTTATAATTATGAAAATACCGAAAATAATTTTTTTAACATATTAAAATAATTATTTTAAGAGAAATCTAGTATTTCCATTCTATTCCCCATACACAGTATCAAATGCCTTTCCTTTTTTTTATATATAAAAACCACCCTATCAAATGTATTGTATACATTTTATTATGATTATGTAGAATTTATTTTATCTTATTTATAAAATAAAGATTTGTAATTTTCTTTGCAGCTTTACTTTCTTGGAAAAAAAATGGCGATCCTGTTGATGGAGCACCATTGTACATAGGTGTACATACATTATTAAAACAATTTCACCCTGAAATTGGATACCAATACCTAGAATATTTAGCTCAATATTTCAAATCTTTAATTAATTACTCTACTAAGTATGTTATCTTATTTTAAGTGTAAAAAAGTTGAAAATTTTGTCGAGTTTATTTTCTAAAAGAAGTATTTAGAATTATTTAACTACATAGGTTGTCCATCGATGATTGGTCAAATATAATAACTTTTGATCAACTAAATATCTTACGTTACTTTTTTTTTTAAATTATTATTATACTTGAAAACTATGAAAGTATCTTATTATTTTACTAATATCTTATTTATTTATTATCTTAATATTTTATAATTTTATTAAAAAAAGAAATCATTTTTTTTTAATTTGCGAAAAATGTAAAAAAAACAAAGTAGTATTTTCAGAGTAGATTTTAGGAAAAAACTTCATAGCAAAATCTTCATTTAAAGCTGTAAAAATTGAAATAAATTCTTGCTTATTTTACGGCATCAAAAGTTAGTAAAGAAACTTACAGAAGTATAATATTTTTTCCGTTAAATACAGGTTTGAGTTATCGAATTCTTTTTTTGAGTTATGGAAAAAGCTACATAACTATAGCCCCAATATTATTATTTCTTTAATTGCTTTATTAAAAAGTTCATAGATTCTTCCAATCATATAAATAAATTAAATTTTAAATTTTATGTTGTTCTCAATACTTCGATTTCAGTTCAAAAATCGAACCGCACATTTTCCTTGAATAAAATAATTAAATATCAAGTTGAAATTATTGAATAATGATAAAATACAAGTTTTGTTCAAAAATATTTAAAACTCATGTTCGTTACAAGTTCAATTAAATGTTTAGATTGTTCGGTTTGGTTCGGGTTCCAAAAATTATTATCTGTAACCTCATTACGATTTTGTAATTGATAAATTTTGAAACATTATAATTATTGTTTTAAAAAAATAAAAAAATTTTAGTAAAATTATCACATATTCCCTTTTTGAACAACGATGACGCTATTTTTATATTAACTGATTACTTTTTATTGTTTAGATCTATTAATTATTAATACCTCTTCTAAAATTGATTTATCATTTATAATAGACAATGTTAAATTCAAAACTTTTTGTAATTTTTATCATTGCAATTTTTTTTTTATATTTTATCAAAAAAAATTTATTTTGTTAAATCATATTTAATAAAACTATACTCTATATAGGTCGATTGAAAAACTTGATATACCAAATGAATACTACGTAACACAGTTCTTCGTCGAGAGATACATGTTTATTGGCGAAATAAATCAGCAAGTATTTTTAGACATGGTTCCACATTATTTAACTAATACTCTTGATCATTTAAAAAATATATCGTCAAAGACTTAAATTTAAAAAAAAATGTATACGTTATTTAATTTAAAATATTTATCATATATCTATACTTATTGTTAATTAAAAAAAAAAAAGTTATTTTTTAAATTATACTGAAAAATATAATTATTATAATTATTTATGCTTATCTATGCTTAATTTTATTTTTCAATTTTGGTTTTATAACTTGATTTGAGCAGTAACGGTTTTGTATTTTATCTCTGTAGGAGAGGGACCTGAAAAATAAAATGTGCTTAAAATACGTATCGAAATATTACCCTACATAATATATCATTTAAAAATATTGTTGTCTAAGAGTAGTCCATATCCTTTAAATCCTATGTTTTATGCAAATCCTTGACTCAATAGAAATCTAAAAAGATATTTATTTAATTATAAATTTTATTTTGTATAATCACGTAAAAATAATAAGGTTCTACTAGTTTTTACTAGTATTCTAGAAAGATTGCATTATTTAATATTACATTAACAGTGTTAATACTTTTTACCTAACGTAAATGTAATACTGAGTATTTTAAATTAATAATGAATTTAAACAATAGGTATGTATTTTTCGGACGAGAAAAACACTGTCCGACTGCGCAGGTGTTCAATTTATTTGCACAGTTTTGTATAGGTATAGGTGTAAAGTAGGGAGACTTGAAGTGTCTAAGTCTCTCCAATATTTTAGAAAAACTATATGAAGATTTGATTCATATATCGTGAAACACTTAATCGAAAAAAAAATTATTGTAATTTTTGTTTCTTTTAGTAAAATATTTTTTTTCATTTTATCAAGCTAAAAGTATTATGATCTAATTAAAAATCTAATTGATCAATAACAACTTTTTGACTAGAATTTCAGCAGTTAATAACACTTAGTGCCTTTTAAATAATACCTAGGCCTGATTAAGAGGGGTTTGGCTAATAACAAATTTTATTAGTTTGTCATGATTAGTGACATAAAGTTTAGTTTTATAGTTAATAGTTTTATTTTTTTTGTTCATAACTTTTAGATTCCATGCGAAGCTGAGAATTTATTAATTTTATTGT